AACCCTTGGCATAACAAATTATATTGAAACTTAGACATGGCAAATCTAGTGTGTTAGAAAATTTTGCTTACTCTGAATGTTCAGAGAATCAGGATGGTGTTGTTCTAGTTAACTGATAAGGAAACATAAAACATTCTGCTTTAACTGCTGTTAGCAGTCTTTTAAAATGTGTTGCCTGTTCATACCTAAAGTGAGTTAAGATTAGTTCTCTTGGATGATTAAGAATTTTGAATTGCCTCAGGGAAATGGAAAACAGGAGCTCTGACTCCAGGAGAATATGAATATATATAAAGAATGGGGCCTATTTAATGAACAATGACCTCAGACTACATTTTGAACATTTTAATTTTTTAACCATGATCCTGAAATGAACTACCTTTTTCTCTTTCTGAAAAGAGAATTAAAAAGTTGATCTAAATCCAATTAATCAGCCCAGTGAAACAAGTCACTGTGTCATAATGAAGTGATTTATTCACTGAACAATTAAAGCAGATGTCTATCCTACTGCCAGCCACAGGCCAACATACTAGAGGTAAAGAGATAAGACAGACTCTGGACGAAGTATTTTTATTTATAGGGTTCTGCTGTATATTTCAGTAAGTCTGCAGTTAATTGGTTGAAGGTTTTGCTGGGTCTTTCCTATTGTTTTCTAATCTAATTACAAAGACTAGTCTTTTATTTCTTTGTGAATCTCCCTAGCTCGTGGCATAGTGTTCTGAAGGCCAGTGAGTACAGTGATTGATAAATGTTGATTGCTAACCAACTCTTTCTTTCACCCAATTAAGAACTGTACTTGAACATAATAAGAAATGCAGCTGGCTAATGGCTCAATTTGTGCTGTTTTGTTCTGTAAGGGGTTTGGTTAAAATGGAGCATTCATCTATGCAGTATAATAACTACCTGCATCACACTGCAGTTTATAATAACATAAAGTTCAGGAGGTCTGACCATGTTTGACTACCTCCTTTCATTTAGTTTATATTTCTTTTAACAAAAATAACATTTCCCCAAATTCCATGGAAACCTATTCTAACATCAAACCATACTAATCAATACATACACAAAACAATGAGCAAAGAATTCCTAGCACTCATCTGAACTTCAGGGTTTATTCTTCCATTAATATCTGTTTTTTGTTTCAGATGCAACATGATCTTAAAATTTACTTACATCGCTTAGTTTAAAAATTCTTTTCTTTTTCTTTTTAAAATCACACACAGTAGTAAAAAAATTACATTTCACTTTTGATCGGAAAAGAGGCAGCTGCATAATATATCAGGTAGTTATTCAATTTTAGAACTTAAAATCAACATGTGGGCATTCCATTTGATGGATAGATTAGTCAATCATAACTCACAAGAAATATTCAAAATCACCTAATGATATTGCCATTACCTAAAAGAGATGTGTGCTAAGGAAGGAACATATTTTTAGTTTGGTTATCTAGCAAAAGTTACTAGGAAAAAAAAGGAAAAATAATACACATAGGTAGAATAGAAAAATCCATTAAAAATAAATGGAATATAAGCTAAGAAATATTTAGCCACATTTTCTAGAGCATCAAAACCAATAACTGATTACATACATATACTGTATTCAAGGGATGAAATAACAGAAATAGAGGGCACCATTTAATGATTATGACCTAACAGGTTTACTTAAGGACAAACTGGGAATAGGATATCATGGGTGAGTGAGGCAACAGAAACTCTTTCACAATACTGTTTAAGGAACTTTAGGTAGGAATCAGGAGTACGAAGAGTGTAGAGAGGACACGATGCCCTTTCTTCTTGCACATGCTCCATCTTTTTCTGTCTTCTTTATTTCCCCTATGGCTGTCTTCTATTTTTGCCTTTCAACCCCTGGAATTTTCTCTGCTCTTCTGCATGTCTTTTCCTTAATCCACCAGAACAAAGACATATCATTCTTTGCAAGGCATCTTTTTAAAATATCTATGTAACGTTTAATATATTGCTTTATAAAATTTCTTCCTTTTTTTGCATTTGAGAAAGTTTTCTTTGCATAAATTTGTAAGTAGGAGAGCTTAAGTTTTTTAGACATCTACTTTTCAATTCATTGACATTCATCTCTGTCATTATCCCTCAATCACTTTTTTAACTTGGTGGGCCTTCCAAAAATTGTGAGACAATAGTTAATGTAAGAAAAGTTCATCTCTTTACCTCAGAACATTCTTTTACATTGAGGTTCATATCATTTTTTCCTTTTTAATTCTATCCTTTATAGGAAGTAAATGCAGTTTTTATATAACATTATCCATAACATGTACTGTTAACTCACCAGGAAACTTTCTTTTTAGGATAACTAATCCCATCTCCTTATTTACCACCCCCCTGCCCAATACCAGAGATTGAACTCAGGACCTTGCACTTGCCAGGCACAGTGCTGCTGAGCCCCAGCCCCTCCTTATTTACCTTTGAGGAGGCAGAATAATACACTGGTTAAAACATTCCAAATTCAAGTAAACAAAAATTTTAGTTCTATGTCACTTAGTAGTTTTGTGCCTTTGGGTAAGCTTCTTGAACTTCATTAAATTCAGTTTCCTTAGCTACAAAATGGGTATAATAATCATACCCAGCTCATAGGGTTACCATAATATTCAATAAGATCAAATTTAAAGTTCTTAGCACACTTAAGTGTCTAAACCTTCTCACCATTCTCACTCTGCAATAATCTACTGGTAACCAAAGCTTTTCAAAAAAAATGGATTTTTTTTTTCTTAACCCCTATTCTATTCAATTCTTTCTTCACCCATGGAGTTCAGGCTTTAGTGTTTGGAAAGACTGTGATTTATATGTCAAAATATTAAACACATAGATTCTAACTACATGCTGTACCTTTATTTTAACAACCCACTCTCAATTTTTCCTTTCTATTTCACTGACTAGTTGATTCATGGTTTTAGGATGCCTTTCTCCTGGGAGACACAGTACAGGAAATAATTTGCTTCTAAACACTTTAATATCCCTTTGAGAGAAAAAGCAGATTATCACTGTCTTCACTTCACAAATAAACAGGCCTAGAAGAATCTTGATGGGCTGAAATATGGCAAAAATAGTGAGACAGACTTCAATTTGGATTAAGTTGGATGTATTCTTAAGAAAGATTCTTAATTGGGCACAGCGGCATATATGTATAATCTCAGCTACTTGGAGGCTGAATCGGGTGGATCTCAAGATAGAGGTTAGGATGGTAATTTAGCAAGACCCTGTCTCAAAATTTAAAAATTAAAAAGGGCCAGGGATTTAGCTCAGTGGTGCCATGCCTTCCTCAAAAGTGCAAGGTCCTGAGTTCAATCCCCAGTACCAAAAATAAAAGAAAAAAATTTTAATTTAATTTGATTTAAAAGGCTGAAAAAGTAGCTCAGGGGTACAGTGCTTCCCTAGCCCATGTGAGCCCTTGGGCTTAATCAGGTGAACTGTAAGAAAAAGAAAAATAGTAACAAAGAAAGGGAAAGGGAAAGGAGGAGAGGAGAGAGAAGGGGAGGGGAGGCAAGGGAAGGCAAGAGGAGGAGAGAGGGAGAGAAAGGGAAAGGACCCAAAGACTTCATATGATCTTTAATCACTCGGCAATTGAACTGCATGAGATGCAATTCAAAAGGGAAAATTTAAAACAAAATTATAATACAATCTTCAAAAGGATACACCTATCTTAGGAGACAGGTTCAAAATCACATCTCTGAGACAGACATTTAACTCTCTTAAGTAAGACTTCTCTTGGTATGTATGTCATTAATTTATTTCAGCCTTTTCTCAAGTTAGTCTTTCTACCTTTTTCAATTCATAAGAGAAAGCACTTTTTTACTCTTTAGATCATAGGGCATGGATCAAGTTAGTTTCTACCTTTTTCAATTCATAAGAGAAAGCACTTTTTTACTCTTTAGATCATAGGGCATGGTCGTTGGTGCATGTGGAGAAAAAGGCATTTCTGCCATGAAAAGCCCTATCCTAAATGCAAATTTCCCTTTAATCCTAGCTCTCTGAAGCCAGTTCTAATGCCCAGGAATATCCCAGATAACAGATCACTCCCTGAAAGTGTCTCCACTTTTTATATCCATATTGTGTCTATGTAGCAAGCTGACCATCTTTAGCTAACCCTGACAGTTAATTTTAAAAACCTAACTCCCATAACTGATAGTATCATAATGATACTGTAGCCAACAGCAGGGAACAAAAATGAAAAGTACAGCCAGAGGAATACTGTGCATTTTAATACTTTTTAAAACTCTTACTTTGCCTGTATTCAAGGTAAGCTTATTCTAATTTATGTTAAGGTGAGTGATCCTTAGTCCTATATTTATCAGTCCGCCTTTCTATCTTTTCCTGATTTCCCAACTTGTTCATCTGTTAAACATATATTGGGCACTATGCTATGATATAAAAAGCTAAAAGAAGATGTGGCTCCTGCCCTTGAGAAAATTCCAGAAAATAACAAAGTTAATGATAACCATATAATAGAGAGATATTAGCAGGATAAAATGAGACTCAGTTGACAGGTATTCATGTCAAACTGCATTCCAATTTTTCATCTTAATAACAAGTAAGAAAGGGCTCTGAGTCTATTTCTATCTTCCTTCTTTGATATTAACTCCATTTATACGAGCTAATATACTCCTTCCAAAGAAAACACAAATCAGTGTTTTAATCAACAAAGGAGAGCTAATGAAGTAATGAGAGAGATATAAAAACTGTGGGTTTTAAATCTCTTCCCTACCTAAACTGCTCACTTCTCTCTGCTGTGGTTTTTTAGTTTGGGTAGGTACCTTTACATTCTGCATTTAATTTGCTTTATCTGTCAAGTGAAGGTGACATCATTCTCCAAACCCGAACGTGCAGTCAGAAGACTGATCAAGATACCTGCTTTGCAAGTAAACAATCTAGATATTTCCAGATCCAAAAAAAAGCAGGCAGGAAGCAGCCAAGGGAAGAGCTTAAAGTCTAGGGAATCAAAGAACAGCAAACAAAGTTGAAGCCAGTTCTCACCGAGAGGATCTTGTCACCCTCCTGGAGCCGCCCATCCTGGGCCGCAGCCCCATTCTCTTTGATGCTGCTGACGTAGATGCCACTGTCATTGGAGACATACTGCTGATCTGTCCCACCGACGATGTTGAAGCCCAGCCCTGAGAAAATCATAAAAGAGTAAAGGAGATGGGGGCAAAGAAAGAAAGATGTTAGAGAAGTACAGAAGAGAAAAGGTGAGGAGAGGAAAGGAGAAGGGAAGGGAGGGAAACAGGCAGAGACCCTTTTGGGGAGAAGTGGCTAATGAGTCAGACTTCAAGGTAGCAAGTCAACTTTAAGAGCAAGGTAGTAAATAATATCTCCCACAAGAGTCAAAGTTACCCAGAGTTCCCCACTCAGATTAGGTAAGACTAAAAATAGAAACACAGTGATCAAGATGACTTGTTGACTATATAAAGATCTATACACAACTTAGATAGAATTATGGTGATTCTTGCAAGATTGAACTGCTTCTATTCATATTTAATTTTGATGCCACTTTAGCATTCAGAGAACCCAATTCCTGATATTTCTGGTATTAATGAAACAGGATTAGCTGTGTTCACGAGAAGAAACTATGCATTTAATCAATTATCAAATTAATTGTTCCTAATTTAGCAGGGATTTTTTGTTTCTATTTTCTGTTGGAGAGGGGGACAGTAGTATAGAGAAAAGCCACAAAACACTTATAAAGGAAAAAGTATTAGAATTACAGCAGAGTTTTCATCTCAAACCTTAAAAGCCAGGACAGCATGAAGTGCTGCAAGCCAAGAAAATAACTTCCAGCACAGACTGATATATCCTACAAAACTATCTTTCAGAATTAATAGAAAAACAAGGTATTTCTATGATAAAGAGAACATTAAAAAAGTAATGACTACAAAACCAGGACTCCATGAATTCTCAAGGATATCTGTAAAAGTGACACGAAAGCCAACAATGCCAAAAAATCTAATAGAATGAACATACCAGGCAGGGTGAGCAGTTAAGCAAAAGGGGAAAAAAGGAAGCAGCAAGAGGAAAATAATGCAATTAGAGAAGTAAGTCTATACCCTTCAGTAGTAACTAAAAATGTGAATGGTCTCTATTCTCCAATAATAAAACACAGATTGGCAGAATAAATCAAATGATATGTTGTATTCAAGAAACATGATATGATATGTTGTATATAAGAAACATATGAACCAAAAAGAAATTCATAGACTTAAAATCAAAAGATGGAGCTGGGAGTGGTGGCACACACCTGTAATCCCAGCACTCAGGAGGCTGAGGCAGGAAGATTACTAGGAGTTCAAGGCTAGCCTGGGCTACAAAATAAATTCAAGACCAGTCTAAACTATATAGTGAGACTCTACCTTAAAATCAATCAGTCAATCAGTCAAAGATCTGCATATCAGGAATCTGAAAACAAGAACAAGCAGCTATTCTATTTTTAGCCAAATGATCAGAAGAGGCAAATAAGGTCACTACATATTAAGGGAACAATTCAACTAGAAGGGATACCAATGATAAATATAAAAGCACTGAACACCAGTACAACCAACTCCATAAAACAAACACTACTAGACATAAAAGATTAGATAAACATTAACACAATTATACTAGGGCACCACAATACTCCACTGCCACAGTAGATCAATTAGACAAAAAAAAAAAAAATCAACAAAGAAATGTCAGTTGAAACACAAATGAATATCTACATTCTGATTAATCCAACAGCAAAAGAATACAAATTTTTCTCTTATGGAAATTTCTCTAAAATAGACCACAGGCTAGCCAATAAATTATGAATTAGCAAATGCAGAAGAATCAAAATTATCCCATGCATACTATCAGATCATAGCACAATGAAACTTTAAATCAACAGCAAGAAAAAAATCACAGAAATTAAACAATACACTCTTGAATAATCAATGAGTCACAGAAGAAATTAGACAGTTCCTAGAAGGAAACAAAATGCCAGTACAATACAGTATACCAGAACCTACACGGTACAACAAAAGCAGGCCTAAGAGGGAAGTTCATAGCTGTGAATGCTGACATTAGAAAAACAGAGCAAGCCCAAATAACCTAATGAAACACCTCAAGATCACAGAAAAACAAGAACCATACTAATCCAAAGCTAGAACAAGGAAGAAAATTATAAAGATCAAAGCAGAAATTAATGAAACTGAGACTAAAAAAAGCAATGCAAAGCATCAATGAATTGAAGATCAAGTTCTTTGCAAGAATAAGAAAATAGACAAATCCTTACCCAATCTTAACAAAAAGACCAAACCAATGCAATTAGAAATAAAAAAGGTGAAATCACAACAGATACTCCCAAAATCCAAAATATTATTAGAAACAACTTCAGAAACCTGTACAACATGCCAATAAACTGAACAATTTGGAAATTAGTACAACTGTTGTGGAAGGAATTGGTAAGTGACAGAGAGAGAGAGAGAGAGAGAGAGACAACAGAATGGAAGTGAAATAAAAAAAGATTTATTTGTCAACAAAGGTTGATTCCACCTAATCACAGTGCCCAGATTGACCAAGTACTGGGCTATAACTCCTTCTTTAATAGGGTTTTTCAGCCTTAATCTCATTTAGGTGGGTTACATTTCATTTTCACAGTTCACATTGCCGATATACAAATCATGGTGGTGAGACAGTTGAATTTCAACCCAGATGTAGCACTCCTTTGTTGTGGGAGTTTACCTTTAAGATTTGAAGGGGGCGTGTATGGTCAGCAAAATTAACTGTGGTTCTTTACAATCATGTGGTTTACAAAACTTTTGAGCTAGACTAGATGTCTCCAGTGTCTTGATTCTCAACTAAAGGGATGGCAGAAGTCATTCTACACTGTGACATCTTGTAGGTTTTTTGCTAAAAAGTTTTCTCTATCACAACCATTATGGAAATCAGTATGGAGATTCCTCAAAAAATAAAACTAGAAATTCCATTTGACTCAGCCATTCCCTTCCTATGGATCTTCCTGAAAGAGTTACAGACATCATATCACAGTGATGCATGCATACCCATGTTCATAGCAGCATAACCAAATAGTGAAATCTTGGAAGTGACGTATGTGTCCATCAACAGATGAATGGATGAAAAAAGAAGTGATTCGTGTCTGTATTTGCAGTACTTGGGAGGCTGAGGCAAGAAGACTGCTGTTGAATTGTTCCCTTTATCAGTGTGTAGTGACATTCTTTGTCACAGTTTTGGTATGAGGTCCACTGTCTGCAAATAGGATAGGCTCTGGTTGCAAGGAGTATCGTTTTCTATCCTTTTGCTTTTGGTCACTGTGTTTCTTTATGAATGATGTGTGTCTACTATAGGCCAGATATGATTGGGTTTTGTTTTTTGATCCAGTCTGCCCGCCTGTGTCTTTCTATTAGGGAAGGTAAGACCACTGACATTGAGTGTTATTATTAAGAGGTATTTACTCAGTTGGATCATTTCATTATTTTTCAAGTGCTGAGTCCTTTATTTTTCCCTTTTATTTAACTGTACTTCCAGGTGGATGTATTCTTTCCTTTGGTCTTTTTGGTGATGTTGGCCTTCCTGTCTCTGAAGGAGAAATGTGGAGGGTCAAAAGGTATTGCCAGTGAGTTTACCTGTGAAGGCATAGAGAGAGCAGAGAGAAGAAGCTGCAGAGATTATCACAAAAAGGGGAAAGACATTGAGAGAAGGGGAGGGGAGGCAAGGGAAGGCAAGAGGAGGAGAGAGGGAGAGAAAGGGAAAGGACCCAAAGACTTCATATGATCTTTAATCACTCGGCAATTGAACTGCATGAGATGCAATTCAAAAGGGAAAATTTAAAACAAAATTATAATACAATCTTCAAAAGGATACACCAATCTTAGGAGACAGGTTCAAAATCACATCTCTGAGACAGACATTTAACTCTCTTAAGTAAGACTTCTCTTGGTATGTATGTCATTAATTTATTTCAGCCTTTTCTCAAGTTAGTCTTTCTACCTTTTTCAATTCATAAGAGAAAGCACTTTTTTACTCTTTAGATCATAGGGATACCAATTTAATAAATCTCCTGGACAGACAGCAATATAAATATAGTGGGGGGACTTCGAACCCCAAATTCACAAATAGATCAACCAGATGAAAATTTCAACAAAGAAATGTCAGAGTTGAACCACAACACTAAACAAATGAACTAAACAGATAACCTACAGAGTGCTTCAACCAACTCTAGAATACACATTTTTCTTAGCAGTGCACAGAACTTTCTCCAATAGACCAAATCTAGGTCATAAAGCATGCTTAAATGAATAGAATACAAGTGAAATAATCTCTTCCAAATTATCAATTATAGCAGGATGAAACAATAAATAAACATCAAAAGAAACCACAGAAACTAATTAAATACATGGAGATTAAATAATAATAATGAATAATCAATGGGTCACAAGAAGAAATCAGGGAAGAAATTTAAAAGTTTCTAGAACCAAATGACAATGGAAGCACAATATACTCAGATCTATGGGACACAATGAAAGCAGTCCTAAGACGTTTACAACCATGAATGCGCACATTAAATTAAAAAACAAAAAGAGCAACTCCAAATAACCTAATGATGATACATCAAGGAAACAAGAACAATTCAAATCCAAAATTTGTAAGAAATAAAATTATAAAGATCAGAGTGGAAAATATTGGAACTGAGTTTAAAACATTATGAAGGATAAAAGAATCAAGAAATAATTAAGATAGACAAACCCTTAGCCAAATTTACCAAAAGAAGTAAAGATCCATATCAACAAAATTAGAATGAAAAAGGCAAAATCACAGTGGACACTACCAAAATCTAGAGGATTACAGGAAACTATTTTGAAAACTTGTATTTCAATAAATCAGAGACTTTAGATATATATGAATTACCATAAATGATATAAGAAAATTAAAAAAAAAAAACCCAGAAGAGACCAACAGCAGGCAACGAAATAGAGGCAGGAAACAAACACCTATTAAGACCAGGACCAATGGGTTCACTGATGAATTTTACTAGAACTTCAGGAAAAAAATAATGCTAATACTCAAACTCTTCAATGAATTGAAAGAAAAGGAACACTGCCACACTCATTCCTTGAAGCTAGCATTACCCTGATATTAAACC